ATTCAGTGATGTCATCATCCAGTTCAGCTCTCTTCCAATAGTGTCTGTGCAATCAGTCAAGCGTCCCTAACTATACTCAGACATATCTATACATCTCATCTACATATAACACATACTCAGGTTTGACAAGGTAACGTATAGTGTGAATTGGTCATATGTTCAGCACAAACCTCTCTCTGTAGTCGTGGGAAAATAAGCTGCTCCAAAACATGGTCCAGAATCCACAGCGGTAATACAGGAGCCCAGCACTCGACACAGTCCACCATGGGCCCCACGTTTCTAGGCTGCCACTGAGACACACAGCTCCTCATGACTGGAACCCACACTTCCCATTTCAACCTGCACACAAAACGCGCTTGAGTCATTTGCTTCTACAGACACTCCACATACACACTCTCAGATATGGGTTACCTGTGATAGGGGTCCATGTTAGAAGTGTCTGGACCACCATGAAGAGATTGTGAGCTTTCAAGAATGGCCCTCCACTGACCGACTTCCTCCAAACCATCTGAACAGTCCTATACACAAACAGAGAGATCGCAGAATTCATAAGACTCAGAGCTTATACAAAGTGTGGAAACAATAACAAAATCAATGACGATTAATAAACAAAGATCATCCAAGTATCCTGAAAAAATGTATCAGTTTCCAAAGAAATATTAAGTGGCATGTTTTGAATGTTGACAATAATAAGAAATGTTTCTTGAGCAGCAAATCAGCATTTTAGAATGATTTCTGAAGGATCATGTGACACTGAAGACTAAAGTAATGATGCTGAAAATTCAGCTTTGCATCACAGGAATAAATAGCATTTAAGAATATATTCAATTAGATTTTAAATTGTAATATTTCACAATATAAATTTTTTGACTGTATTTTTTAACAAATACATGCAGCCTTGGTGAGCATAAAATACTTTCAAGACTTTCAAGAACAAAAACACCTTCCTGAGCCCAAACTTTTGAACAGTGGTATAAAACATACTGTATAAAAAGTATTTTTTACCTTCAGTGGATCCCAGCTGCGAAGTCTCTCTTTCAATAAAGGATGTACAACAGACACAGCTAGGTCTCCCAAACCCAAGGTTTTGTACTCCTGATAGAACTCTGTCTGCAGCTGCTGGAAGATCTTAGCACACTCCTGAAGGCTGAGTGCAGGGCTGCCCTCCTTATCGCCTGCTTCGAAACGATCCACCAGGTTCATCACATCACCAAGTCGACCTAAAGCCTGTTCCTCCTCTGCCAGCCTGACCTGCAGTGCGTCACTCTCATGGGTCAGGGTCATCACAGTGTCCTTCTCGTGCTGCAGATGTCGTGCACTCTATATACACACAACACAAACCCACAAACAGTAACTAATAAAATCAAGAACTGGCTGTTTGCTTCTGTCATTGACCAAAACAAGAATTTATTATGAAGTGAATTATGCATTTAAATATGATAAATAAGATGTGAAGGGTTGCACGTGGTGCACCACATAGGAAGCAACATTTACAATACTACAATATTTATATTGCATACGATTTTATAATTAGCATTATATTACTTAATTTATTTAATATTATTTTACGTAAATTCTTTTTCTAACTTGCTGCTGATTTAGTGCAAGTTTACGAGTGCTGTACCTGTAGGATGTCTTGCTCTGTGAGCTCAATGAGCAGTTTGAGGTTGTGTTCCAGCTCTGGTAAAGAGAAGCCAGAGGTCTTCTGTTCTCGTGTGCTCACACTCAAAGGGGCCTCCTCAGGAACACTGTGCTTCTGACTCATATGACTGTAACTGTGATACACCTTCTGCTCTCTGCCTGTCATATCGATCACCTGAAACACGAGGGATGGGTTAACAACTGTTTCTTGTGAGATATATAAACGGTTATTGTTCATTACTCTAAGTGTTTTGCACTCTCACCTTAACCTGAGCCAGTTCTCCAGCAGGTCTGCTCATGCTCCTGTTGGCCAGTTTGCCATGAGCTTTCAGCTCTTCCACAGTCTTGTAAGAATATTTGGGCTTTTTCTTTGCCGTTCCTGATTCTTTACGCCATTGCCCCAACTCCCTCTGAAACTCCTTCAAAGATGGAATTAAAAATAAAAATAAAAATTAAGCAAACAATATGAAAACAGGATAGGTGATGAAAGATTTGGCCTGCTGCTGATCTGGGGCGCGCTTCCAAAAAGCATTGATAGCCAACTATGGTCGCAAGTTTCATTGAACTCTGTTGGTAACAACAGATCTTGTGACCATAGTTGCTTTTAGGAAATGCACCCCCTGTTCAGTCAGATGCTTTTTTTTGTTTCCTGACCAAAAGAGAAAACTATTGAGTTCTATCCATTTTGTATTCAAAAGGATCCCTTTATGTCATTTAAATTGCTTATTTGGATGTGTGTATTTTTTAAACAACACTGTTTGAGCATCTGAATTTGATTTATCCACTGCAACCACCAAGAATTTGTTAGTTTTGACTTACATTCTCCTCCTCCTCCTCAGAGTCTACAGCAGGGAAATCCTGCAGGGACTGCTGGGTCCTCTCATTACCATATGCACCAACTGCTCCCTTCCCCTTTCGCAACTTAGCCTCAATCGGGTTCACAATACCTGCACACAAAGATTTCCATAAGAGGACATTCACATCATAACACCATCCCTAAGTAAACACATGATGCATAACATAATTCACAATAAGCTAAATGCAGCAAAACCAGTACACTGAGGTATGAAATAAAGGACTGTTGTTTTACCTTGAGCATTTTTGCCCAATCCTTTTCCTGGAACGTAGCCCATCTTCTGCAGAAGTTTTTGACCAATGCCTCGTGTGTGTTTCTCCCAGGATCCCAAGTCCTGCCCTGTTCTGATACCACCTGCAAACCTTTGGGATGTCTTAAAGCTCCCACCCTAAAATAAAGAATTCAAATACATATATTACACAACTGTTCAGACATTTGGGATCAATAAGACTTTTTATTTATAAGGATTCGTTTAACTGATCAGATCAAAAAAAAAGATCAGATTGATCAGATTTAATTGATCAGAATTTCCACAAAACTATTAAGCAGCACAACGGTTTCAACATTGATAATAATAAGAAATGTTTCTTGAACACCAAATCAGCGTATTAGAATGATTTCTGAAGGATCATGTTACACTGAAGACTGGAGTAATGATGCTGAAAATTAAACTTTGGTTTGGTATAAATTACATTTTAAATATTTTAAAATACAAAATCATTTTAAATAGTAATACAAGCTTAAGAGCTTAGGCTCAAGCTCTTACAAGCTTACATAACAAGCTTAAGAGACTTTCAAAATCTTTTTTTTTAAATCTTATCGAGACCCATATTATTGGACCTGACATTCAAAACTAAAGACATTGTTGTGTTGGCATCTCACTTTACCGTTTGGAGTTTTTTGGGAACAGCAGCACGAGGTGGAGGAGGTGCATCTCCACCATCACTGGAGTCATCTGAACCTTCCTGCTCCACTTTCTCCTCAGCTGCAGTCTTTCTAAGGCCAGCACTCACAAAGTTCACAGGAGCTGAATAGTCTTTCGATCTGTGTGGATACAAATATCAATATTGTTTATTGTCTTAAAATGACATTTACTGCTTATTCACCAAGGTCTCTAGCTGTTTGACAGCTGAAACATTATCAACAACAACCAAATACCTTTTCCCCCCAAAGCTGGGCCGCTCATCATCAGAGTCATGCTCTGCCCAAATCCCATAAGTCACTTCTTCTTTGGTCTGTCTGTGTCTGCATCTGTCTGGGTTGAACTCATTGGCCAAGTCCCATTCAGACACCTCAAACTTTTCAATTTCCACACCATCCTCCTCCTCATCACCTCTACGCCCATACAAATGGGACATAGACATATCTCTGCTGAAATTAAACAGAAGAATGTTTTAGGCCAGGGTTTTCAAACCAGGGTCCCGGGAGGCTGTAAGGGAGTACTAGGGGGTCCAAGGAAAATTTTTGAGAAAAACAGTGTAACAAATGTAAGATCAAATAAATTATAAAAAAATAAGATGGATAGATAGATAGACAAAAACACACCAAACAGTGCTACAGTGAGTAAAAATAAGAAAAATATACTAATTATATTCTCACGTTTATAATATTATTTTTACAGTATAAATTGGGTCTTTAAACATGAAAATACATCGCTGCCTTTTAAAATTTTAGGATGATGATATTTGGGGCTCCGTGACCTAAAAGACTGAAAACCCCCGGTTTATGCACAACAGTATTTACATAAAGGAGTTTAACCTGCTTAACCTGCTCACATTAAACACATACGATAAAAGAAAGTGTTATTGATCGTAATATTAGTACGTCAGGCAAAGGTTTAAAAAAAAAATATACAGGTTAGCATAGCATTGCTATTTTTTGTAAACAAAAGCACATGCTTTCTTTTAAAACAGTTAACGTTACTGTGAATTCTCCATCACGTCCAACGTAACGTACAAAGAGGTCTGTGCTGAAATAGAAGAGCTCAAGCACATAAACAATATTTTATTTTACCTGATAATGTGGTTCTGTCAGCAAGAGCGTATCCAGTAGGCGGTTGGCGACACTAGGGTGTGACTGGAGCAGAGATGGAAGGAAGTGACGTAGGATCAGGAAGTGAGCTGGACATAGAGGATGAATGTAGTGGCGGGGAGAAAGGAGGTAAAAATGAAAATCGGAACATAGTAGAAAATCGGGAAAGGAAAAAAAAATGGAATCAACTTTCTGGTTCGGAAAGTGAAAGGGAAAGACAACAGGAGAAAAGGAAAAAGGAAGAGTTTAAGGTAATGATACATTTCTTGTCCGATAATATGAATGCATTGAACCCACTGAAAATAACTAAAGCGTTTGTTTTTTGTTTACATTTTTTTTAGTTTTCCTTTAACGTCATTGCTCCACACTCCATCCTAGTAGGTGGCGGTAAATGCACCTAAAGCTGGTTTGCCAACCGCCATAAAACGTCAAAGAAGAAGAAGAAGAAGAAGAAGAGCGTATCCAAAAGCAACTTCCTGTCGGCGCCGGAAGCAGGGCTGTGACATCAGAGCGACGCGGAGGTCAGGAACCCTCTCTTACAGCCATCTTGGATCCTGTGGCCTGAACTAGTGAGTACTTCTGTGTTACATCTATTGTCATCCAAAGCTGTTTTGATGCTTTTGACCTCAGATTTACTACTTGTATTGACGCTTTAGTGTTCCTCTGTGCTGAACGGTAAAGATTTGTTTGTTTGGCTCGATTATTGAGGAAATATCTTCCTGAATACAACCGGCTGACTGTTCAAAATGGGGGAGCGAGACGCACCTGCGCTTGCTGTATGCGAGGACTTTGTGCCTAACGAAACGTTCAAAACATACGAAATATAGTTTTATAAACAACTAGAGCGATATTTGTTTAAAGTCTTTAATGTAATGACAAAAAGCACTTGCTTTGTGTGCGTCAGTAATCATTGGAAAGTTGATCTCGCCTATTAGACACAATTGACACAATTTATAAACATACAGAGATAACGTTACACGTGCTATGATAGCATTACAATATAAAAGGTAAAAAACTAATTTCCTAGTGTTCGCGTTGTTTTGTTTTCACTTGGGCAATGCTTCTCTCAAACAGCAGTAGTATGACAGTGCTGCTCTGTTAAACACGTGAAATGTGCATCACACGCGCACCTATGGCCAGCCTGTAAAACAATGATTTTGTGTAGTTATGATGTTGAACAGGCCATGTTATGTGCTTGGGTTTTTATAAAACTCAGTTTCCGTACAGTGCACTTGTGAAATGTTATCATGCAAGCTCGATACTTGATCAGATGTGAACACAGCATTGGGTTTAATTCAGGCGGCGGTGAGCCAGCTGACGGAAGAGGCCTAGTGTGCTGCTCACTTTGAATAGTAAAAGCCACATGAATATAAAGCACAGACTAAAACGTCTTATTGACTTCATTTTTGCGAAGCTAATGATGTTTGTATTATGTCAATTTCTGTTGCAGTCCAGAATGCCAGGCGAAGCCACAGAAACTGTCCCTGTTACAGAGCAGGAGATGCAGCAGCCCCAGGCGGAGACGGGTTAGTACTGCCGTTGAATTTGCATGTCTGACACTAAATGCAGTTTGTGGAAGGGGTCCTGGAGCTGTAGTTTTATTAATTTTGGCAGTTTTTATTTAAAAAAATAAAATAAAACAGTTGCAAGTTTGATCAGTCTATTTATGGTGATTTTTGCACCTGTTTTAAATTTTCTTCAGGGTTTTTTTTTTTATGGTCCTCTACCAGCTGTTGTAGAGACTTCACAAAGCAAGTTTCTCTAGTTGGAGTGGTCACATGTTGATTTGTAGGGTGGGGATGCCATTTGAGTCAGATTTCTCCACCTAGAGGTTTTTAGGTTAATGTTCTTGAGCCCCTCCCTGGATTAAAAACTGCACTAGTTCGGTTAAAGGGATAGTTTGGCAAAATTTTGTGTTGATCCAAACTAGGGATGGGCATTTTTCAAAAATACTGTATTGGAATATTTGGGCTCATAAAAAACTAATATTAAAGTGTGCGTTTATTTAAATGATGTTTAATGAGAAAGCTAATTTTTTAATAATCAAGTTTTTGTCAACATTTCTGAACAAGCTTATGATTAGGCATTATAGACAACAATGTTCTACAACAATGTTACATTAAATCTCAAGTTTTTCTTTTAGTTGAAAATGTGTGTAAACTATATATATATATATATATATAAGAACTGAAACATATAATATCCTCATGCTCGGGTGAAAGGTGGCTTCTCAGACTGATAGCAATAAGAACGCGCGCCGACACAGACGTTCCAGAGAGAGACAGATAATGGTGTGCTAAGCAAAGTTTCTTACAGCGCTTTGTTTTCTGTTCTTAAACCAATCTCCCTCGAGGAAACTTAAAGGAAGCATATGTCTCAAGATCATTTCGCTATCAGATAAGCTCTCTTCTCGGCTCACTCGGGGTACAGCTGCGCTTACCTGCAGTCGTGAATGCAGTGATGGACAGCTGTCTTTCCTCAGTCAACTGGTGTTTGGATTTCATGTGATTTCTCATTGTGATGGTGATATTATGATAACTCTGTTTCACTGATTCAAACTACACGAGATGACATTCTGTGATCAAATACAATCAACTTAACACGCTCCACAGCGCCACCCAGTGCATTTATTTATAACTGACTTTTAGGGTGTATTCACACCAGGAAAGTCCGCTAGTTCACTTGCTTTGGTCCGGACCAAATACAATGTTGATTTTTTTTTTTAGTTTGGTGTGGTTTGCTTTCACACTGCCCTTTTTGCAAGTGAACCAGAAATTGTAAACAAAGCCACACTTGTGCTAAGGTCATCCATTCATTGGACCGAAATTCTCGAGCGTACCAGAGTTAGTTTGGAACCGGACCTCTTCAGCTGGGTCTCGGTGCGGTTGTTTGGTCCGCACCCAAGTGCGATTGCTGTATTCGCACCTGCCCAGAAGATCACCAAGGGGGGAAATGAACATGAGTTTGATTCAATCGAACCAAACAAGACAGGTGTGAATACACCCTTAGTTTGCGTGCTTAGGATTTATCATGGATTCCCTGCTTTTACAGCCAGCAAAGCAGCACGTAGTAAAATTCGAATAGTGTTTTTATTTTTCGAATAATAATTACAAATCGACTATTTGTGCACACCGCTAATCCAAACCTGTGTGAATTTTTTTCATGGGAACACAGATGATTTTTTGAAGAATCTTTTTGTTTTTATTGTATAGACTAATAAAATGTCTTATGACAGTTGAATTAACTCTTTAAGCAGCAAGTCATACCTACAGTGTAGTTTTGTGGTTTCATAATTTACTTATGGATATATTGATTGGTTATGAGGTAATGACAACATTTGGTTCTGAAAAACAATTGATCCAGGACTGCCTTGCCCAACAGTGTGTTTGCCTGTACTAATTAATATTACACTAAAGTTGAGTTGTGATATTAAAAGCACATGCATCCTTACATTTTTGTGCGTGGAATTTGGACAGTGCCACTCTGCATGAACATTTTCCTAACATTTCACTGAATGTGAGTGATTGTAACCTGAATAGCTGTAAGACATTTATAACAAGGGTTTAGTTTTAGATATTGTCTTAGATTAGGAAGTGTATTAGGCTTTACTGGGATTTATTGTATTCAGGAATGTATTTGCAAGCCTTTGTGGTCTTCGTGAGGAGAATCATGCAATTTAACATGTTTACAAAGTTAAGTCTCCAAATGATTCAGATTTTGAGGAAAACAAGTTTTTCTGTATATATCTTGATGTACAAGCTTTTTTGGTAATTTTTTCACAATGTAAATGTTGAAAATTAAGTGTTAAAGTAACAAAATTAGTAATTTTGTTATGTAAATTTGAGTAAGCATGCAAATCTTGGTCAAATATTGGGCACATTTAGTTAGGGCTGCACGATATTTCGAAATATCGCAATATGCATATCGCAACGGCGTGCAATATCATTATCATTTTAATAATAGGCTACTTAAATCAAAACGTTGCAAAAGGTCAAAGTTTTAGTTCGACGCATATAGCAGAGAATTGCTTGACGTTGAAAAGAGTTAAGTGCAATAAGTTGCAGAAAACAACTCTTTGCCGTTTCGTCTTGCTGTCTGACTCACACCTGAAGCGCACGCACAAGCCGCATATCGCACAGCGTCTCTTCAGTTCTGCCGCACACGTGCAAAGCGCGCGCGCACACAGAGAGACAAGTTTCAGACCGAGTTGATTCGTCTTTCGCATCTCCTCCTTATGTTTGAACAGACGCATACACACAGAATTATGTCAATGGTACCCGTCTCGACGATCATTCTGGTAAATGCAGTCGGTTATGATTTAAATGAATGTAAACAGCTGAGAAAGAAATCGGTTGTGTATCATTATACTGGATCCGTGCAGTCGGATTTAAAGGGACAGCAGCCTATAAATACGTGCTGCTTTTAGTCATAGATATGGAACACTAAATATCTTGGGTAGTACTTTGGTAAACTGCGCTTATGACAATATGAGGAATGAATATATTTCACATTTCTTGAAATCCTGACTACTGTTTTTGAAGTTTAGTTGAATTTGGAACTTGGGCACTGCATGGCACAAAGTTTTATGTTTAAATGTTTGTTCTCATTTGATGATATGAGATTGTCAGCACATTCCTAATCTAAATATTTAAACATGTCATCAGTTTACGGCTACCATGCTTTTTTGCTACTTTTTTTTTAATGAAAGTTAGAAGTGCGTCTTGTGACCTATTATTGATCATTTCATTATTATTATTGATACTGATCATGGGATTACATTTCATAATTTTAACCAGTAACGTGGCAAATTTTAAATGCACAAGTCCTAACCAATCTCATGCTCACACATTGACCCAGAAGGATAGTGTTTTTAACCAGGTTTATATTGCTCTGTGATCATTATTTCACAATGTACTTTGTGTTTCAAGTTGTTTTTAATTGGGATCATGTACTGTAGAAGCAATACACCACTTTTTAAATATTTTAAACAAAATGCCATTTGTTTATTACTTGTGCCTTTGAGGGCTTTTCACTATTATGTTTTGTAGAAACTTTATTGCTGTCTGAATAGGCAATGTTACATTTTAGTAATTTTTCTTTAGGTCTAATTTACCATAATGTATTGCATATAAAGTCTGGATCACAATGCTGAAGTGGGTAGCAAGTTCCAGTTCCCGTGGACTTTAAATGTGCCAGAGATTGTGTTAATCTTTGAACAATGTTCGTTTAGTACAGATGTTTTTGAATACTGTAGTTCATTGCCAATACCTGCATGTGGAGTTGAGTGGTGTTTTTACAAAGCCTTACAATTCCTAACCCGATAATCAAGGTGTGTTTGGTTTGATTTAGTAGCCAGTTGTCCTTTGTGTCCTTTAACACATTTGTCCAATTGACAGCAACCCTCATAACCAGCATGGATGTGATGGTTTACATCATGCCACTTTTTAATTGCCAAGAAAATTCACTCTAGCCCTTTTATCTCCATTAGCCACACCTGCTGCTGCGGCTCCTCCTCCCTCTCAGGCAAAGCCTAAAGAAGGCAAAACTAACCCCAAGCTGTCCTCTTCTCCTCACACCACCGCTCCTAAGCCAGTTCCTGCTGAACGCAGGAAACGCTCCTCTCTGTCTGCCTCCTCAAACTCCCCAACCTCTCCCAAATCTGCCTCTGGCCCTCGTGCTACCCCCCCATGCTCCCCTTTGGCCTCTCCTCCAGCTGTCTCTTCTGTAGCTGGGAAAGCTGAGCAGACTGCTCCCAAGGTGATAAAGGCTGGCAAACAAGGGAAGCAACAGAAAGCAAAGAATTTTAAACCTGCTGAACCTGAGCAGGCACCTCCCTCTGCCTCTAAGCCTGCTCAGGAGCCTGCACCAGTTGCAGCTCTGCCGTCTCTTGCTATACCATTACAAGAGGAAGCTAAACCAGCAGGAGATGGAAATGCTTCCCCTGTCTCTCCCAAAGTTGCTGTGGCTCCTGTTGCCTTTAAAGTAACTTCTAAATCTGCTGCCCCAGCACCAAAGTCATTTTCAGAAGCTGTGGCCACCAGTCCGCCCAAAGTGGCTGAAGCCCCCAAGGTTGCCTCTGAAGCTCCAAAAGTAGCAACCCCTGTTGTTTCAGAAGCCAAGACTCTCTCGCCTTCAAAAGCAGCTGCCAAGCCTGGCTCTGCCCAAGTGCCAAATATGAACCCAGCCACTGCTGCTCCCCCAAAATCTGCTCCTGCAGTGTTTAAGGATGATGATCTCCCACCTCTCTTACCACCTGAGAATCCTTTTACAATGCCTACTTTCCCCCCCATGCCACCTAGTGCAATGCCTGTAGTTACCCTAACAGCTCCCAAAGCAGAAGCTGTCTCTACCAGTAAAGTTGAATCTGGCCCTGCCCCTAAAGCTAAGGCTGCTCCTAAAACTAAGCCAGCTCCTAAGGTTGAACAGAAAGCAGCACCTGCCCCAAAAATTGAGGCTGCATCTAAAGTTGACCCTATTCTCACCCCTAAATATGAGCCTAATCCTACCCCTAAAGTTGCAGTTGCTTCTGCCCCTAAGACTGAGGCTGTTCCTAAACCTAAAGCTCAGGCTGCCCCTATTGTTGAGGCTGCTCCTGCACCTAAGGTTGAGGCGGCTCCTGCCACTATAGTTAAGCCTGCTGCTGCTCCTAAAGCTGAGGCTGCCCCTAAGGTAGAGGCTACTCCTGCACCTAAAGTTAAGTCTGCCCCCAGCCCTAAAGCCGAGCCTGTTCCTGTCACTAAGGTTGAGGCTGCCCCTAAAGTTGACTCTGTCCCTACCTCTAAGGTTGTGGCTGCTCCTGCCATTAAAGTTAAGCCTGTTGCTGCTCCTAAAGCTGAGGCTGCCCCTGCCGCTAAAGTTAAGCCTGTTGCTGCTCCTAAAGCTGAGGTGGCGGTGGCTGCTAAAGTTGAGGCTGCTCCTGCCCCTAAAGTCGAGCCTGAGCCTGCCCCTAAATTTAACCCTGCTCCTGCTCCTAAAGCTGAGTTTGCCCCTGCTCCTAAAGTTAAGCCTACCCCTGCTTCCAAAGTTGAGGCTGCTGCCCCTAAAGTCGAGGCCGCCCCTACCCCTAAAGCTGAACCTGTCCTTGTCCCTAAAGTTGAGCCAGTCCCTGTTCCCAAGCCAGTTAAAGCCCCATCAATACTGGAACCAGTCATCAAGAACGACAAGGGTATCTCTTTCTGTCTGTTTTTGCCTTCTATGCTTATGCTGGTATAAGCATGTATACCCCAAAAAAAAATTTTTTAGCGTCACTTCATCAGTGAAAGTAAGCCTGGTAACTTTATGGTCTGAAAATCGCCTTTCTTTAGTCTTTGAGTGAAATTAAAGCTTCAGTTGGATGCTTTTCGGGAAGTTGTTCGAAGAACATTGGGCCAATAGCTGAATGTTTTTTGAGTTTATCAATGTGAATTTGTTCAGACTTGTAAGTATAATGGCAATTTACTTTTGCTTCCATTTTGAGGCTTATGTAAAGTATATAAAAGTATTTGTGCCATTTAAACACTGTTAAACTGATTCACCCATTTCTCCATTGCATTTGAAGATTTTGATTATTCTAACAGGATTTTTGGTGAAAATCTATGTGTCTAATGGCAAATTAATTTAATGTGTCTGGGTGTTTTAGGGTCTGGCACTGAATCTGACAGTGATGAATCGGTTCCTGAACTGGAGGAGCAGGACTCTGCACAGACACAAACACAGCAGGCACAGGTAAGATTCTTTTTGATCTTCGCATACAAAAAACATTATTTTTCCCTCCACTTCATTTTCTCTCACCATTTCTTTTTCAGTTTTACATTGGCATGAACTGAAATTGCATTCCCTTTCCACAGCTTGCAGCTGCAGCTGAAATCGATGAGGAACCTGTCAGCAAAGCGAAACAAAGCAGGAGTGAGAAGAAAGCCAGGAAGGTAGGTCATCCACAGGAACTGAATGAATCTAACTTTAACACCAAATTCAATTAGAATTAATGCAGTATTGTTAAACTGTACCCTTTCTTCCCTTTGCCAGGCCATGTCCAAATTGGGGTTGAGACAAGTTGCTGGTGTTACTAGAGTAACCATTCGCAAGTCTAAGAACATTCTCTTTGTCATTACCAAACCAGATGTCTACAAAAGTCCAGCTTCAGATACTTACATTGTCTTCGGTGAGGCCAAGGTAAAGATCAGAAAAAAACTGCTTTCTTATTTAAGGTTGGTGTGCACTCCTCCTATCTCAGCCATGTTTTGGTTGACAACTAATTTTACATGGCAACCTTGCCTGGTGATCTGGACCAAAGTGACCTCTTGATGATGATTTAAACAGTTTGACTTTCGTTCTTCTGAGTCTGATGAAGCCAAACTTTCTGTCCTGAGAGAGGAAACTTTCACAGTGGTGTAAATGAAGAACATATTGAAGCCCAGAAAACAAACTAAAATCCTGATGGTTTCTGCTACTCTTAGATTGAAGATCTGTCCCAGCAAGCCCAGTTAGCAGCTGCAGAGAAGTTCAAGGTTCAAGGAGAAGCCGTTTCAAACATCCAGGAAAACACACAGACGCCCACAGTACAGGAGGAGAGCGAAGAGGAAGAGGTGAATGTTAACACTATTGTGATTCTAGAACAGAATAATACTGAAGATGCTTCATGAAAGGTCTTCTGTTGATGTGTTCAACAAATGTGAAAAGTAAATGTCCACATTCATGAGTGATTTGCTTTACCATTTGCAGGTTGATGAGAC